GTCCTCTTCCACAACATCTTCGTCCCCGCTTTCCTCCTCTAAATAAAAAATGTATAACAAAGGAAACTCATCCACGACCTCCGACACTAAACTCTCCTCCTCTTGCATGTTTCCTCTGTCCATAGCGTTCCTTGACAGCGTCGTTTCTAAGTCACCAATTTAGTGCTACTTGGTCCCAATGGAATTTCCCATTGGACACCTGCTAGCACTAAGATGCTAACTGGTTAGCAAGATGCTTCCGACAAACCAGCTACAACCAAACTTGCTTGCGAACCTTCCACCACAACTATCCCGCCCCCTTGATAATCGACCAATCACATTCACTTAATTCACTCGTGTAAAGTCGGGCACCACTCGGGAGAATTCGGAAATTCAATGACTGGAACAGCCGCTTACCTACGACTTTAACGTTTTATTTCAAGGGACAAAAAAAAGTCTTAAAAAGTCTTAAATTTAACTTACCTTATGTTGTAGGAACCCCCTTTCATTACTGCAAAAAAATGTATCTTAATAAGTAATTTTTTCTTAAAAAAGGTGCAGGTAAGTGAGACAATTTGCCAATGGAACAAGACAATTTACATTTAAAATAAGAAAAAACATTTGCATTGTCTTATTTCAAGTGCATATTATCTAATTATCTTATTTTAAGAGTAAAAACACTCATGCCATTGGCAGATCATCTTGTTTACCTACTGAAATTAAGGGTAAATACACTTAATTTAAGAAAATTTTACTTATTTCTAGATCGTTTTTGCAGTGCAGAGACATAGACAGGTATGGGGCATTGCAGGCTAACAAAGAAGCCTAACGGCCCCCATTCCAAAGGGGGGGACCCGTTCATCCGTTTCTATTTGCATGTTTTCTAAACTAAAACCAGGCTTTGTTGGGCTGCTGGATAAAACCTGGAACTAAACGCTATTTCTGACATTTTGAATTAAGAGAAATCTTCCTGGATGGAAGAGAAACGTCTTCAAACTTGGAAACAAAGCGCAGTGGATTGTTTTTTAACTTTGGAATGACTCTGACCTGGATGACTGAGAATCTTCACTAGAATATTCATTAAACTCCCAAAAGGCGCCTCGTTCTGATGCCTCACTGCTCTCCTCTCATATCTTGACTCCCCAATTAAACTCAGATTCCTTTTTCTCTCGACCTAAGTCATAAATGTTTGGATTATGATAATCTCTCCCTCTGTGAGCTTCTGTTGGATTATTTTCAATCCGCAGGAAATAGCCTGTGACTTCCCATCATTTTCTTCCTCCTTTCTCCTTGAAGTATTATTTTACATAGATGCGGCAGCGTAGCGGCTGCTTTAGCCTCCAGTCGTTTCCAGTAGTTGGGTCTGATAAGCCCAGAGCCGCCGCTTGGCCTGTGCACCGGATCCAGAGCTGATTGTTTTGGTTGGCTGCAGATGCTCAGTCTGACCCTGAAGATTAGATACTGAGAACGTTTGGAGCCAAACTCCCTTTTTATCCACAATTTTCTTTTTTTTTTGAAAGAATGAGTAACTTCTTTTGTCATAAACAAGAGAAATACCGCTACACTGCAAGAATGATCTAGAAATAAGTAAAAATGTCTTAAATTAAGTGTATTCACACTTAATTTCAGTAGGTAAATGAGATAGTTTGCCAATTGAATGAGTAATTTTACTCTTAAAATAAGATAATTAGATAATATGCACTTGAAATAAGTCAATGCAACTGTGTTTTCTTATTTTAAGTGTAAATTGTCTTGTTACATTGGCAAAATGTCTCTTTAACCACCTCAATTCAAGAAGAAATTCACTTATTTTAAGAAAAAATGACTTCTCTAGATTTAGATTTTTTGCAGTGTAGTTTTCTGGTGTAATATCTTTAGGAATAACCAGAGGTGTCAAATAACAAAAATACTTTGTTACTTTACTTAAGAAGAGCGTTGGCTATCTATACTTTATGGAGTAATTATTTTACAGTTTAAAAATTGACTCATTAGTTTTGTTTCATTTAAGCTCATTTTCATTATGGCCTGTTGGTATATAAAAAAACAAACATAAAAACCATTAAAAAAAAAATAGTTTCATCCAGACAATTCATTTCTTTGTGGTTGCACTCGGTGCTGCCCCAACCTGTTGTTCCCCACATACCAAAATAAATCGTTTTTTAAGATCATGCAAAGTTAAATTTGACAATGTTACCATTAATTATAAAACTAAGCAAATGAACACTAAGGAAGTTATCATCTAGAACTGTA